CCTATTCACCAACAAGCATACTCACTTCCCTCATCATTCATCAATGACCTGCAATTATGAAACAAGTGTCATACTTGGAAAATAGACACTAACATAGTCAGTCATTATACATAATAAGATAGTTAGTCAGTATACTTGGATGATGATGCTTGTGTGTCAACCAACTGAGAAAATGGAATGTTGTGAACCTGTAATGTTTAATAAGAGTTTAAATTAGTATTAATGCCAAGTATCAACACCTTTGACAATAATAATTTAATTCATTTACCTCTTGAGATTGTCTAGCTTCCACTGAAGGCCCACCCCATAGCTGCACTGTATGCCCACTACCACCACCTCTTGGCCACACAACATGTCCACCTCTTGCTTGAAATGAACCACTTCTTGGCTGCCTTGAAGTACCACCTCTTGTCTGCCTTGAAGCACCACCTCTTGCATACATTGAAGCACCACCCCTTGCTTGCACTGATTCTTGTGACTCACCATATTGAGAAAATGCAATGTTTGTAACCTGCAAATACAAAATGAGTTAGCACACATAATAATTTATTTTTTTATATATTTTTTTATAAGTAGCACACATAATAAATTACATCTAAAAATTAACTTAGCTACATCTTAACAATATTTACCTCTTCATACTGAGTTAGCTGCACCCAATGTGTATCTGAACCACCCCTTGCACCCCTTCTACTAACCCTTCCACTTCTTCTACCATAAATAGTTCCTCTATTAGTTAATGGTGGTCTTCCTCCCCTTTTTGGTGGAAGTTGCTCAACCACTATTGGCTCATTCACTTTGCATGTTCTTGTATTGTGGCCATACTTATTGCATTTTGAACATTTCAAAGCTTCCCTTGACCTAGTCAGTTTGGTTGAAGTACTTGCCTCATCATTCTTTTTGTTCCTTGCCTTTTTAGGTCTACCAGTTGGTTTCCTATAGGTTGGAGGTTCCAAAGGGTCAGTGGGTTTTGAATTTAAGAGTCTTCTCATAGGAATGGGATGTATCAAATCTGCATACGCCTTCAAATAAGTCTCCCTGTGATAGTATGGATCAACATATATCTCAACAGCTTCTCTTCTTACAAACATGCATGCAATAGCATGATTGCAAGGGATGCCACTAACTTCCCATACCTTACAAGTGCATGTGTTATTCCCAATGTCCACTGCATCACTAACTCCTCTGTATTCCACCTCATATTTATGGTAACCAGCATAGTGTACCTTACAAAACCTTGCACATCTTTTCCTTTTATCTATTTCTTTTTGAATTTCTGGACATAATAACCCAGCCTTTGAATTCATGAAATCTCTCTTATTTTGGAATCTCATCATGAGATGCTTTCGAATCCATTCCAACATGTAGAGTATAGGTTTGTCTCTTGCAAGAAGAATCACTGCATTCCAAGACTCACACATGTTGTTTATCACCAAAGGGCATTTACAATGAAAACCAAAACTAGACCTTGTCCATACCCTTGGTGGCACTCTATTCAGCCATTGATAAGCTTCTTCATTCATCTCTCTGATCTTATTCATATGAAACTGAAAATCCACTTCTGTATATGATTGTGCTACTTCCCATATCTCATTTTTCAATGCTTGTCCCCTATATTTGAGCTTGAAATTTTCATAGAGGTGTCTCACACAAATCCTATGTTCAGCCCCATATAAGATGGTGTCAAAATTATCTACCAGCCCCTGAAAAAAAAAAAAAAAAAAAAAAATTAACTTCAGTAAGTAATGTAAAGTGATATTGGAAAAAAATTAAAGTAACCTACCTCCTAAGTGTACAAAAATTTAAGTCACTTCAAAGTGTAAGTAATGTAAACTGGTATTGAAAAAAATTAAAGTAACTTCAAACTGTAAGTAATGTAAATTGATATTGAAAAAAAAAAATTCAAGTAACCTCAAAGAATAACTTAAAAAAATTTCGAACTGTAATTTAAAAAAATTGAAGTACCACACAACTTACTTTTTGTCTATCCGACATGAAAGTGATGTCAAAATGAGGTTCCACAGCTTCCATTAGCTCTGTCATAAACCATGCCCAAGAGTCTTTCGTTTCAGCTTCTACAACTGCAAATGCAACAAGGAACATTTGATCATTTCCATCACAAGCTACAGCAGACAATAGGTGACCACCAAAAGATCCTTTTAAAAAGCACCCATCAACTTCAAGGAATGGTCTACAACCATCTCTAAATCCCTTCTTCATTGCAGCATAACAAATGAAGATCCTTTGGAAAGTTTTTATCTCATTATCATATGACATGGGATCAACACCTATTGTTGCACGACTTCCAGGATTGGTTCTTTGAATCAATGCACAGTAATCCCTCAACTTGGAATATTGTTCAGCTTCATTACCCTCAATAATGCTTAACGCCCTTTTCTTTGCCCTGCGTGCCTTATGTTTGGAGACATCAATGTCATAATCAGCTGCAATGGTTCTCTTTAGAGACTCATACCCCATGTTTGGATTTAATCTCACTTGCTCTAAGTACTTATTTGCTAGATATGTAGATGTAGCTTGTTGACTATTGTGACTCCACAAGTAATTGTTATGTTCCAGGCTCAATGTTTTGATTATGAAACAATTCTCATTACTTGGTTTACTAGCATGTACCCTCCAGCCACAACCATCCTTGCACACTGCTGAGACTCTATCACCATCATTTCTACTGAACCTGATATCCAACTTTTCCTTAAGTACATGGTCCTTAAGTGCAAGCCTAAAATCTGCAGCTGATGCAAACCTTATGCCAATTTGTAGAGGTATTTTTCCCAGATCCCTTGAAGGCAAAAATTCCCAACTATTAGGGATGGAATGAATAACATTGTCAATCTTATCATCTGAACCAGGTAAGCTTCTCAACTCATCAGTTGGAGCATATACAGATTCCACTTCAGCAAAATCCATATATGCTTCATCAATGTCATCATCATCAGTTGCAGCTTCAAAAGGCATGTCAATCTCTGAATCAATAATTGTAGCATCTACATGACTATTATTGTTTTCTTCAAGATGTTCTACATAGATCTTTTTTCCCATTAACTGAGGTGCAACAATGTACATATTGATTTCATTGACTTCCTTATATGCCTCATGAGATTCAAACATCTTCAACACTTCAACATCAGACCTTAGTTCTTTCAATTCTTCAGCATTAGGCATTTTGTAATAAGCCTCAGTAATCTTCCCATACCCAAGTTGGTCTGCCATATCTTGCACCTCAATGCAAGACATTTTGTCTGGATCTACATTGTCAAAATAAGATATCTTCCCTCTTACATAAGCCATATGGGGTGTTTTCTCAAACATACCCCCATGGTTTAACCTAATGCAATATAATATACCCATCTACAAAAAAATTATTTACTTAGTAATATTTAAGTCAATTATGTTGCAATTATAATGGTAATGTCAATAGGAAGTATGCACAGTCATAATCAATAAAAAAAAAGTTTCACACTTTTCATGCTTCATTATAAAGTAAGAGAGAGAATTTTAGCAGAAAAACCTGTACCAAACAAAGGACACTTTTCTACATAATACAAAATGGGCTAGTCAATATATTCAATACAAAAGGGACCACTCAACAACTAGTCTAAAAGGAATATAAATACACTAACAATTACTTCACATAACTGAACCTTGGTTGGATATTTGAAAAAGAATAAAGGACCACAACAATCGCATCAAGGGAATCTAACATAATAATTTCTACAAAATAATCAATACAAAAAGGGTTAGTCAACATATCCAATACAAAAGGGATCACTCAACAACCACTCTAAAAGGAATATACATACACTAACAATTTCTACACATAACTGAACCTTGGTTGGATATTTGAAAAAGAATAAAGGACCACAAACAATCGCATCAAGGGAATTTAACATAAGAAGACACACATTGTTATCACACCCCTGACATAAAGTTCATTATAGTTACAAACAAACAAATGGTACTCTTCAATATCACATAAAATCTGAAAAGCATATATGAGATCCACGTATAAAAGTTCTCTGACCAACATATAAAAGCTATAAAATCTGTCACTACCGACCATTATCACAGACAAAGCAAAAAACAAACTCAGAACAATATATATATCAGCTACAGAAGTACACATAGACACACATTGAAGGTAAGAAATTGCCATTACAGACCAACAAAGGTTTATACAGTGTAATATTATTGATTTAAGACCAAAATCAAACCTAATATTAAGGCATCAACACCAAAAGCAAACCCAATCTAACCCAATATTAAGGCGTAAAGATCAAATCAGAACCAATATTAAAGAATAAAGACCAAAATTAAACTCAAAATTAACGAATAAAGACCAAAATAAAACACAATTTTTAAAGATTAAAAACCAAAATCAATTATTAAGTTCATAAGTATTTACCCCTTGCGCCAGATAGCTAAACGACTGGGTATTACAGCTACAAAAGGACTGTTTCAGAGTCGTCTTCAGTGCACTAGAATACAAGATGTATGGATCTTAAAGTGTTAAAGTGTAAGGTCTGTTTCAGAGTTGTACAAGAGCTGTTTGTTTCCCGCTGTATACAGACATTGTTTGGCGCTAAAATGAGTGGTGGTTGGGTGATGGTAAGTGATAAGATGATAAGGTTGCATTGTGTTGTCAGCTTCTGATTGGTTCTTTAGATTTTTTTGACACATAAACAACATAATACAAAATCTAAACCAAACGACACCGTAACACTAAAGGGTAGTTTGGTAATCTCATTTTTCCAGCACCGGAAATGGTACTGTTGTCCTCATCTGCAACTTTTAAATAGTTCGGGGGCATTTGTTAAATCAGGGGGGTTTTTTGAAATTGCCTGATAGTTCGGGGTTTTTTTTTTGCACTTTACCCTATTTAAAACAGCTTAGAGTTGAATGAAAAAGACAAAAACACCCTTCCTATTACTCACACACAAATATATACACATTACATACACATATATAAATATATATACACATATACAGCAACAGAGAGCAACAAACCCAGTTGCCCCAAACTTGTAATAGACCCACGGCGCAACAAAGACAGATCCACGTCGGTGACCAGAGAAAGCCCCACACTGGCGATGATGCTAGAGGCAGCATCGATGATAAAGACGACGGGCAACAACGTGGATTCCGACTGGGTTTTCGGTGGCAGTACAGGCTGAATCAGCAAGCAAATATGACGACTGAATAGTCGTTATTGAACGTCGAACAAGGACCAGAAATCCGACGACGGCGATGCTCGACGACGTGGTGGTGATAGTGATCCGATTCTGGCGATAGTGACCAGAGAACAGTGTCGGGTCTTGGCGGTTTGAATGGTTTTATTTGTTTGATGGTATGTTTGTGGGTGTGATTGGTGGGGATTTGGGTTTTGCTAGTGGTTGATTGGTGTAGTTAGAGATTTGATCTGGTCGTTAATGGAGGGAATGAAACGGCCGAGCCGGCGAGCTTATGGCAGACAACGGAGTCAGAGGCAGAGACAGAGGGTAGTGGCTTACGGTTTGGAGAGAGAAATTTGAGGGGAGAAAGAGGACGAGCGGTCTATGGGCTCGGCGAGAATAACGGATTAATGGCGGTGTGAAGGCTTGGGGAAGACAGTAGATTCCCAGCGGACATATACACACACGGACACATATATACGCAGAGAGACACACACACACACACACATATTACACATGTATGAAGGAAAAAATATAAGGGTAGTTTTGTAACTCTGCAATGGCTAATGAGGTTAAAAATGTCATTTTAGCCATTGTGAAGGGCAAAATTGATTTTGTACCCATTTATCCCTCCCAGCATCAGTACTAACGGTTTGTTACCTAACGGTATAAGAGTAACTTGCTACATACAATCAAAGATCAGGAATATGTGTGGAATATTGAAATTTAGAAAGGTTGCGGAGAAAATATAATCAAAGGTTAAAAGGTCTAGGTGAAATTAATCCTAATCTGATTCTACTAAAATTACTCAAACTCCTGAGAAAAGAGTAAAAGGACCAACTACATTGTGTAAATAAATGCCGATGTTTGTTGGGTTGGGGACCTTTTGCACGGGTCTCTCCATTGTCTTTCATAGCATTTTTAATTCTTTTTGAATAAAAATGCTAGAGTTTTGCTTCCAAAATATTTCTCCATCTGTCCATGCATTTCCTAGATTAGTTGCATTTCCTAGATCAGTTTCTAGTTTAAAAATTGCAGCTCTATCCAAAGAATATCCAAAGAATGTTGATTTTTGAGTGCAAACTTACCACTTTTTGTTAAAGCTTGTGGGATTTTATTCAACTAAAGTGGTAAGTATTTTTATTTTTTTATTAATCCTTCATCAAGATTATAATTTTTTTTTTTAAAAAAAAAAAATTGAACTTTCGGAAAACGTATTAAGGTATCATCTCTTTTTAAACGGGGAGGATGATTGTTCTGTTAGAGTAATATTGTACTTCGTATATTTGTTTGAACTTTAGAAAGAAAAAAAAAAGAAAAAAAAAGAAAAAATGTCGAGTTTGTTAGTTTTGAACTTCTCAAAAATAAATTTAAAAGACAAGAAAAGAAAAGATATTACCAAAGAGTTTTGTTATTTTCATTGTTACCGTAGCAAGCGAGGTCTAATAAATTTCCACAGAATTACCTATTTATTTGGAATATTACAAAATTATCTATTTATTAAAATAACTTGAGACGGGGGCGAGAAGTATCTTCACTGGTTCTGTAAGTATTCCAGATTTTCGTTAAAATTCGCATTTCTCTCTTACGTCCGGCGAAGATAGTTTTGACTTAACGAAGGAGAAGGAGAAGGAGATAAAGAATCTCTAATCTCGGTCTCTTCAATCTCTGGTATCTTTTATTTGCTTGCTCGGTTTTTCATACTACCAAATTAGGGTTTACGTATCTTTATGTCAGCTTATGCATTCTCTTATTGGGGTGATCTGATTAATTTTTCACATGGGTTTGATATCTTAAACTATAATATTGTTGGGTTTCATTTAGATTTTGAAGAAATTTGTTTTACTGGGTTTTATGACCTATAGAAGAATTCAAGAACAAAATTAATTTTGACTCATATATTTCAAAGAATTGAAGAACAAAATTACTTATTTATTTTGGAATGACAAAATTATCTGTTTATTAAAATAAATTAGACTAGGCGAGAAGTATCTTCATTCTTCACTGGTTCAGTGATAAGATAACTGTTTTCAAGAATTTCGTTAAAATTCGCATTTCTCTCTCGTCCGGCTAAGATAGTTTTGACTCCAACGAAGGAGAAGAAGAAAACGAAGATAAAAGAGTCTCTAATCTCGGTCTCTTCAATCTCTGGTATCTTTTATTTGTTTGCTTGGTTTTTCATACTACCTTATTAGGGTTTACGTATCTTTATGTCAGCTTATGCATTCTCTTATTGGGTTGATCTGATTAATTTTTCACATGGGTTTGATCTCTTAAACTATAATATTGTTGGGTTTCATTTAAATTTTGAATAAATTTGTTTTACTGGGTTTTATGACATGTAGAAGAATTCAACAACAAAATTAATTGACTCATATATTTCATTTTCTTTTTTTAATTCAGTAGAACTATGCCTGATTAATGTATTAAGTTCAGTGCTCTAGGCGATTAACTATTTAAATTTGAAAAGCTGCCATGGAAAATTGTTGAGGAATTGCATGTTGTTTTGTCTTCTTAGCTTCTTTTTTCCTAAAGGAGGCATTTTGTTTTGCACTTCAGAACTATTTGGTGCAATTTCAAACGAATAAATCTCTTTGTGAATATTTTCTTCTTGATACTTTAAGTTTTTCTTTTAAATATCATGTGTTGTTGTCCCTTTCATTTGTGCCACAAATTATAATTATAAGTTGAGGAAGTATCATATAGATTTCTGCTGTCGGGTGGCTTGATACTTTGATATGATAGCCTTTATGTATTTTGATTTTCAGGATTGTTCACAAGTGTTACTAAATGAAGATGGCTATAAGTTCACCCATGGATAGAATCAGTAGCCTTCCAAATGAGGTAATAGAAAGTATACTAATGTTGTTGCCGTTGCGAGATGCTGTGAGGACGAGTATTTTGTCAAGGAAATGGAGGTATAATTGGGTCAAACTCCCACAGCTCGTCTTTGATGATACATTGATCGAAGATTCCATGGAAGATGATGATCCAAGCGAACTTCTTAAGATTATATTTCAAGTTTTATTACTTCATGATGGACCAATAGTGAAGTTCACCCTCTCTATTTCTGAACTAAAAAGCGGTTATGAGATTTACCCATTGATACTTCTCCTGTCAAAGAATGGCATCAAGGAACTTACACTTGATATTTCTGAGCTCGGTGGCTATAGGTTGCCTTCGTCACTCTTTTCATGTGACCAACTAAGACAACTGTATCTCAGTAATTGTACATTTGACCCCCCTCCTACATTTAGCGGGTTTAGTAGGATCATAAGTCTAGAGTTTATCTTAGTTGACTTTCCTGATGGTGTACTTGGAAGATTGGTTTCTAGTTGCCCACTACTTGAACGGCTGAAACTGGAAGGCCCCATGTATTATGACTACCTTGAAATCGATGCTCCAAATCTCAAGTTCTTCAGCTCAAATGCCAGATTCAAATCTATTGATTTCCAAAATGCCCCTCTGCTTGCAGTAGTTTCAATTACTTCAGATGATGTTGATGAAGAAGGAAAGGCGTCTGAAATGATCAATGTTTTTGGTTGTCTACCTGTAATTGAGACTTTGCAATTGGGACGTCGTTTTGTGAAGGTAAGGTAGCTTTAGAGCTTTTATTTTGTGAGTTTGAAATTGCAAAGAAAATCATGTCTCTTAAGTCTTTATTGGCTTTTTGTTTAGTTCTTGATTGTGGGCGGTGTACCTGAGAGGCTCCTGTTTACCTTAGACCTCCTCAAAGTTCTTCAACTAGATGAAGTATATTGTGGAAAAATTGCAGAGGTCTCCTTTGTTCTATGCTTGATTAAAAGCTCCCCCAACTTGCAAAAACTTGAAATTGAGGTAAGCTAAAACAGTTCATTGTTTCAATCGTTCTTATGTTGTATATATAATATTTGATTGAGGTATTTTCATTTTCTCTCTAGATGTTTACCAGCGATGATGATGCAGGACCTGTTTTAGAATTTTTGGAAATGCAACGCTACTCAGATGTCTCTTTTAATCAACTTCGAGAAGTGAAGATGCAATTCTACTCTGGCACAAGGCCTGAATCGAAGTTTATAAAGTTTATATTAGAAAAATCCCCGATGCTAGAGACGATGCTTATTGAGTCCTCAAAGAAGGTTCTTGATAGGGAGTTTAAACGATTTCGACATATCTCACCTGAAGTAGATATTATCCGTAAAGATGCAGATAGAAATCGTGTCAAATATCTGGCAAAAGGCCTGCATTGGTCTTTGACGGGAGAGGCCTGAATAGGAGTTTATAAAGCTTTATAATGCATATTGAGTCCATCTCAAAGAAGGTTGCTGATAATGGAGTGGTGATACTTAGAGAGTTGACACGATTTCAATCTGTCTCACCTAAAGCAGAAATTATTGATGCAGATGAAAATCGTGCTTAGCATATGCGTTTATATCCATTTTGATCATTTTAAGGCCTTTAAGAGGGATCACATTCAATCATATTAATGGGTTTTTCTTTTCTTTATTTTTTCCCCTTCAGGAAGCCTAATGTGACTGTTTTTCTTAATTAGAGGTGTAAATAGATAGCTGATCATTTTAACTATTGAATCCAATGATGTTCTTTTTATTTTTAAAGATTTAAAGGGCATTGTTACAAGTTGTATAACTAAAAGATGGGATTATGTGGCTTTCACCTTTTTGAATGTGATGTTATTTTTGTTTGAGGGTATTCTTTTTTCTTGAAGTTATAACAAGTTTGACTTGTACCTGTGTTACAAATTCACAGAACTTATCTTTGAGATTGTACGTATTCAACAACTCACATAAACAAATGGAGATGGTTTGCACTGCCAATCTTTAGGGAAGAGTAAGTCTATATCACAAGGACCTCTCACCATGAGTTCGCTATTGTTTTGATGGTTTAGCTTTTGCTTTTCACATTAGAGAACCTTAGTGATTCAAGGTTTTGATTCACACTCCATGTTCTGAGAAACATTTACCATTCGGAAAGACGAAGAAATGGAACCTTAATGTTTCTAGAACCAGCAGTTTACTTGTGCATCTGTTATTTGCTGCTGCTCATCGCCAAAACAGAAGGCTCTCGTGAGCTGTCAATCACTCCTCCAAGATTTCAGCCCACATCTGTTCCTTGACTTCTCATTTTCTTTTTGGAAAACAGGTAACCAGACTTTTTTTTTGAAAGTTAACCAGACTTGTTAAAGCCGGAACAGGAAAGACCACATTAGCAAATAGCAATTGGTGATGGGGCCAGGAATGCTACAAGAAGCTGAAATTGATATCGGAATCAGTGGTGTTGAAGGAATGCAGGTGCACAACCAATAACTGAATAAATTTGTCATTTCTTAAAAAGTGTTCTAATTTACAATGTTTTACTTTATTTCTCTCAACTCTTATGTTTTACAAATATCAGGCAGTCATGTCCAGCGATACTGCAATTGCTCAGTTCCGATTTTTGGGGCGCGCGCTTCTGGTGAATGGACACTGGTGATACAGAAGGATCTCAAAAAAATGCTAGTGACTTTTGTATACTTAAATTTAAATATATTTGAGGTGTGGGATTTTCTTTTTCATTATAGTTCCTTCCCTTCACACCTTTTTGAATCCTTGTCAAGATCAAAATGAAATCCCTAAATTTCAAAAAATTTCTTGGTTTGAAATTTCTAAATGGTTTAAAATCTAAATGGTGTATTTACGTTTTCAATATTTCATCAACTGAATTGCTCCTATTGGCAACTTGGCAGATATGCTACTTCTTCGGTAAGAATGTCACGATCGGTTTCATGGTTTTGTTATATGAGGCAAATGAATCACTCTCTGGGAAGCCTGCGTACAATGATTGGTTTCTGCCCCTCTATACGTCTTTCTCTCATCATTCTTGTGATTTCTCTGGGTGTTTTTGACCAGGATTTATCAGCACAGTTTTGTCTCAAGGTATACCTTTTATCTAATACGGAGTATAAGATATGGGTTCAAATCCTAGCTGCAGCTGTTTATGATGTTTATTAGTGGTAGCATCGCTATATTGTTGTGTTATAAAGGAACATGGAAAAAAATAATTACACATAATTAAATGTGAGAACCATTATTTTGGCTTCAGCTGAACATGAATTCTGAAAAATCGTAAATTGAGCAAAATCATGAAAAACAATTTGGTGGCACAGTTTCAAGAATTGTAACAAGCCTTTGTTGGGTTCAATTGAATTCTAAACCTGCTTTTCTGTGACTTAAGCTTTGATTTTAACTGACAAATAACTATTAAAATTGCTTTTCTTTCACCATTTTAATTTCAATGAAGAAACTAATAGGCATGCTTTGGGTTTCTGTGCTAAATGCTTATTCTGATTTTTTTTATAGCTAAATTGGGTAGGTTGTATTGAATAAAAGCGAACTTTACAAACAAGTGTCTCCATGGAGTCAAACAAGGCCGATAAGGCATGCATCAGCAGAGAAACTAAAACTACAGATGACCAACATTAGTTGGTCAGAAAGTAACACATTGATTGGCAAAGCTAGCAACTGAAAAGTTTCAAGAGTCCGTGAGACATCTTTGACCATACTTATCAAAAAAAGAAAAATGAGACCTCTTTTGACCATATGCATTTGAGATCCCTTGCAGGATTAGATTGTTGAGCTCCTCATGACTCCCCACTTGCCTGAGGATCGAACTTTCAAGCATGTGAATAGAAGCTAGCCTGCATCTGATGGTTTTTCTAATTTGATCAACAATGATTTGAGGCTGAGAGTTCTTCCCTTTAAAGGCTCTAGCAATTCTCTCCCTCCAAATGAAATAAATATTTGAAGTGAGGATGAGCTTTGAACCAGGAAGCTTTTGACTTCCAATTGAGTGAACACCAGTTGACATGTTCAGTCCAGTTGATAGGGTTCATGTGAAAGCCTGCAATATTCTTGAAGTGGTTCCAAATTACAGAGGTGAAATGGCTTTGAAAGAAAAGATGAGCAAATATAACAAGCATTGGGAATATGCCAATAGGCAACAACAGAGCAGCTATCAAGAGTTTTTAACCTCTCTCTTAAAGCCAACCAAGAAATGATGCTAAATTTGGGAACACGGAATTTGAAGCAAAATTAGGTGAGGCCAGATAAAGGTAGGAGAGGGTGATGAAAGGTAGGAGAGAGTGTGAGAAAGTGAAAGGTAGAGGATGGTGATGGAGTCCAGGAGACCGAGTCTTCATCCGTGGTGGGAGAGGCAGTGGAGCTGATCTGGTTGATGAAGATTGGATTGATAAGAAATGGAATGGGGTGAGGCTTGCGAATTGCCCATTGATAATTGGAAATTAGGCTATCAACTTTGACATGCTAGTCCGGTTGAAGAATTCCCATATCAGTGGAAGGTATTTGGTTTATTAGTGGACCATTTGGGAGCCAGTAATCAAGCCACATCATTGTACCTGTCCCACACCCCACTTTATGCTTGATTCAGTATCTAGCCATGCCTCTAGGCTTTAGAAGCTTTCTCCAAATACCTGTACTGAGCGAGGATGCTTTGACCGACCTGAAGCTCTTCCTCTTAACAAGGTATCTGTCTGTCCAATTTGCCCACATGTTGTCTTCCTTTTGGCTGAAGAGTTTCCAAATATGCTTGAGATTTGCAACTTTGTTGACAAATTCTAGATGAGGAAGTCCAAGGCCACCTTGAACATTAGGTCTGCACACGGATTACCATGCAACTTTTTGTCCCTAAAGATTTTAGAGCATGACTAGACCATAAGAAGCATCTGAGAACTCAATCCAACACTTTCTTAGGTCGCACAAATGTAAGAGACCGGTATGATTGAATAGCTGCCAAGATTGATTTCATCAATGCTGTTCTACCTGCAAATGATAGTAATCTTGCCGTCCAGCTCTTGGTGAGAGAGAAGAGGAGGTTAGAGGGAGGCCTAGGTAAGTGATTGGCCCTCGTTGTTAGTTACTTAACCTTGATGAGGCTTAATGGGCAATCCTATGATCCTGAATATTGCAGTATGGTGCATCAGCGATCCATAAAACCGACAAATGTGGGTTTTACAACACGTTCATTGGCAAGAAACACTCTCTTAAAAGACGTGATGCACAACCGCAGGTAAAACTTGCCGGATGGTTGGTCATCAAAGAGTGTGGACTTGTGTCTATCTGCTGAAGAATCAGAAATCTGCCCATTGTATATGATTATATTGAATTTGACACTGCTACTTGAATACAGAGTTTTTTTTTTTTTTTTTCCCGGGATTAAAACTCAATTAAATTTCTTGTGTATAGAATATTATTCAGCTGTGCCAGTGACATGGGTAGAAAAGGCCCCTAAAGGTTGTAAATCTTTGATACTGGGGGTGTATAGGGCAACAAAATTTATCTTTCATTTGGTTTCTTCTACTTTTATTGCCGAAATCTACTGTACAGAAAGTGGGAATTTCTTTTGGTAGTGTTCCTTCTTCCGACAAGAAGAAGTTATTATTATTATTATTATTTGTGGGAACAATAATGCAATAAAATGGCTTTTATTGTTAGTTTGTATGAACAATAAAAGCCATTTTGTGTTTCCTTTTTCGTTCTTTATAACTCTGTTCACTCTCCTAGGCACTTGACTTCCAAGTTCAAAATACTCTGCCAATTTTGATTTTTGGTACAATTTTCAAATAGGTCAGTACTTGTTATTCACAAAGACTTCGTGAAAGATAATCTATTTGTTATAGATGCGTTATGATTTATAATTTACTACATTTCAATAATTTTTAAAAATGTCAGATTTATTTATTTGTTTATTTATTTATTAATATATATATATATTATTTAATTTTCATTTGTTGATTGTTATTTTTGTGATATATATAATGCTGTATATTTGTTATTCAAGTTTTCTCAGAATTTTTTTGATATATCATATATATATTTTTATTATTATTATTTTTAACCTTCATATGTAAATGGTATGTTCCGTATGATGCTATCTTGGATCTAATGTGGGAAGATCCAACAAATTCACGATTATGATAATGGATCAACTTGTCTTCACTGCCCACCATACTAATGTATATTTCCGATATTCTTCGGAACATGCTCAATTGAATTCAAATCACTTATTTATTAGCTCCAAAATCAAGCATTCAATAAAGCTATAAAAAGTGATACAACATAAAAGAATTTTCTTTTTTATATTTTTTAGAATGCTCAAGCAATTTATAGATATAGATAAAATTTAGATAGTTGGGCTCGGCAAAAGAGGAAGCCCAATTTAAGTACAGGTAAAATGTATACAGTGTTGAAAGAGGGAAGTCCAAAAGAGATATTGGACCAAAAGCAAAAATTGGACAAATACAAGCCCAAAGAACTTAAAAGACATCTTCAGATTTGCCTCTTTTGCAACTATTTTACAGAGAATTTGTTTATTTTTATTATTTATTTATTTATTATTATTATTTTGGGTAAGTGATTTTACTGAGAAATTGTCAATTTAGCCCTAAACATAAACAATTTTCTTTTTTTTTTATTTTTTTTATTTTTTTCGGTAAAAGAAATTCAATTCAAAATGAAATTGACAATAAATTTCAAATGCACCATACAATACTTAAGCAACACAATTACGCGTGATTCAATGCATCGATCGATCTAAAAAATTACGAAACCAAAACTCCCAATTGTAGAAATCTAAAATATACGAGAGTGTGTTTGGTTGCATAGAATTGGAATCTTAAAATTGAAGTAAAATTTGAGAATTTTTTATCCTCGAATTTCACCAATTTTAATTCCAAGCAGTCAAACACAACCAAAATTCACTTCCAAAATCTTGATCGGGTGTACTGATTAAATTGCTACTAGAGGAGAAGAATTTTGATTCAAAATCCTAGAGAATGAGCTTTTCTTACAACGAAAAATGATGTTATACCAAAAATATATTGGGATTTTTTTTTTTAATCTTTGAAATCATGTTTGTAAATTTGTGTTTATATCTATATATATATATATATATATATATATGTATTTACCTATGTTATCTAGGAATAAAAACTACTTTAGATTAGGTCCTATATATTCAATAGTTTTTTATTATTATTTTTTTTCCAGGAGACGCTAGGTTAAATTTGAGCAAACCACTTCAAATGCCAAATATATATTTCCGAAATTATACCTTTAAAATGGGCAAACTTCGCAACGTTAATTAGAACATATAAATATGAATTAAGTCAGCCATTCACACCTTTTATTTGCTTGACTTACACGCAAGCAACAAATAGAAACCATATACTTCTTATAAAAAAAAAAAGAAAAAAGAAATTAAATAAAAATCTCACTCAAAATATACAAATATGCTGTTTATGAACCGTAGCTTTCTCTTTTTATAAATACACAATCAGCATCAATGTATAGTACAAAACTCACTCTTAAATGATTATATGATTAGTAAGTGAAATAAAAATAAATTAGTCAGATGATTTGAATTTGAAAAGGTAAATTAGTCCAAAGATCTTCTGCAAAGCGCAAGACAGTCCAAAGACAAAGATCTTCTACAAAAGACATAACAGTTTAGAAGATCAACTTCGAAGGATAAAGATGTGATCTTTATTCAAAGGATAAGTATGAGTAAGAATCACAATTGGATTTCAACTATCAACATTTAAATAGATACATACACATTATTCATGCTATTTGTTGTACAGTAAGACCTATAGTATATTTTTATGCTTACTAACGCTGGAACTTCTTGTTGTAGTGCATTCAACAATCTACGTTCCATATCTTTCAAAAAAAAAAAAAAAACAATCTACGTTCCATCCTTTTAATCCTAACATATTCTGATATAAAAATTGTAGAACAAATGGAGACCATCACTAATTCTTTTCTTCTAAGCTCATTATCAAATATATACTAGTAAAATGGTACAAGTGTTGCATGTTCTAAGCTCATTATCAAATATATATACTAGTAAAATGGTAGATGTGAGTAAAATTTATCTTAAAATTAATATTCAACAAAGTAATTAAATAATGATTTTCTGAAATACTTATTAATGGATTTGAAAATACATTAGATACTAATTTTTAACTAATTTTTCAAACATTGTCCAATTTGTTTGGTCACTAGTCATTTGACCCAAACAGTTGGATAGTCAAATCACAAGCGATTGTTGAAAAGTAAGGATAATCCTTTCTTCAAGTTCTTTAGCGCCAGGAGGACTTTTGATAAGGCGAAGATGGGAACAACACGATTTATTCAAGCATTTTTTAACTCTGAAATTTGTTTTAAGCATTTTTCAATCCCGGATTTTGTAACAAACGGAGTGGATAATTCCAAGAACGACATTCTAGTGATTTGGCAACTGTCATTGCCTTTGAATAACGTTCTTTTAAATGTCTCTTTTCAGTATTTTAATTTTTTAAGAGAATGGATTTTAATATATATTTTTTTGTATTAATAGTTAATGAATTACTAAATATGTACATGAATCTAAATGATATGATGGTTTATTTTTTATAATTTCAATATAAAAAAATTAAATTAATAATATTACAAAAATAGTACCTTAACTTTTTAAATTAAATATTTATTTTAAAACAACTAAAAATAAAAATGTAAACAATTT